AATATAAATGCAACTTTTGAAAATTAAGATATCTGTAATGAAATACAAGAATATTGATTCTTAATAAAGGAATAGTTTAAAACTTAAGAAAATGTGTAAAAATTTTAGATTATATACATGATTTGCAAAATTATATCATTCTATTATATACAAATAAGGAAATGTGGTTTGATAACCGATTCGAAAACTAATTACAAAGACCAATGGAAGTAAAGGGCACTGCAGAGCTTTTAACTATGAGAAAAACCCATACTATATAGTCAACTATAAAAAGCGTCGACACGACAAAAAATGGACAATTCAAACGAGAAAACCAACGAATGGATTTATGCTTAAAACTAAACAAAAACAAATATGACAGACAGAAACCATCGACAAGCATTGAATTACAGGCTCCTAAGCAACACTGAAAAAAATAAACAAACAGACTTCAACATTAGCGTAAAACAGCTCAGAGTTGATTTTTTTTCGCTTATTTAGCATTTCTCAATCATCGATACCGAAGCAAAATATACAAAAGCACTGGATGGAAAAGTAATTTAATACTTGCAATCCATCAGCAATGTGACGCAAAAGTTAGCCATAATGCCTAATGACTCTCTACATATGGAGGAATTCCGCTCATAGTCTTTTAAGCCTAAATATATTGGAGTATTACAAAATGAAGTGAAATGAACGTAAACATAACTGATATGCATGTGAAAATTTAAACAGTAAGGAATATGACGAATTATGAATTTATGTATCATCATTTATATAATGGCGATCGAAAGATAGCACATTCGTTTTTCAGCCAAAAATAACATTTGAATAATTTGTGAGTCGGAATTATTGAGCTCATACAAGTACCGTGAAATTATTTGCATGAGAGATGTAAGTCTCATAGACAAACATGGTGAAAAGGGGCGCATTACATTTGCGCTCATTTGGGAATTAAAATATTTTACGCTGGCGCGTAGCTTTTGATTACATGTGCGCGCGTTCATTTTACAGGTAACACTGGTAAAAATAAAGATTACTCATAATAAATATGTTTATAGTTGTTTTGAATTTTGAGAATATTTCTAATTTCAAATTATATATTTTTCAAATTGACTTCTAAAAATATATAGTGATCATGAGAAATCCCGTTATAGCTTAAGACATACATGCTCCCCATTTCCATTCTCAATTCTATATAATTTAATTTTCAAATATTTCAGAGTAAATTGTATTCTTTTTCCTGATTTTATCGAATAGTGATCGATTAAGTAAATAATTTAAGTCAGTTTGTGAAGTTGCGTCGAGACACAAACATGGACTTTCGTTTGTCAGAAACAAATCGGTGGGAAATCATTAATGTAATGAATGATTTACCTTCCGTATAGAGAGAACACATAAGTCATGGATATTTCATGGCGATCAAACCTTTAATTGCAAAGATATTTTATCAGATTCCAAATTTCATCCTTGGGCGGCATCACTACCGTGAGAAGAATCCAGGCGTACTACAAACGGTCCGGAATCATTCCATGCTCACTACAATGAGTAATTTTATTCAGCACATCTATGTAGTGTTGTGTTTCATAAAGCAGTGGGCTTCAAATATTCAGCAACTTACGACATGTAAAATCAGTACTTTTAAACTTTAGATTTGCTGTTTTTACATTTTCATCATACTGTATATATTCCCAGGACTAAGTGCTTGTGCATAATAAAACGGACTTATCCTGCTCGAAAATAATAGTTAAATAAATAAGTATAATTTACCTGTATTTACCTGAGTTTATCTTAAAACAAATGCGCGCAAACGTAATGATTTTTGCGCGCAAATGTAATGGTAATGCGCGCAAACGTAATGCACTTGCAAATGCTTGTGTATTGGCGGGTTCAAACCCTAGTTGAAATTTACCTAAATATATACATTTAAAAACAAAGCTTAGTAGGATCTTTTCAATGATGTATTAAATAGTCATGGATTACAAACTATCTATGTTTGATTTGGTTTTACCTTATTTATTCTATTTTAATTTGTAACTGTTGTAGTACGAACACAAATGATTGAGGCAAAAACATATCTAAATCAAACCCAACTAGAAAAGGAAATTGAAAACAATATATTAATCAATCCGTCCGGGTAGTTCAGCATTACAGTGTAACATAAGATCATTCATTTCGTGCATTTTCCACTATATAAACTAACCAATTTCTTTGGATAAGATGGTGTCCAGATATTTCATTTAATTACAATATTATTGACGTTTTTAGCGTTTCTAATGATAATATTCATTGATGTCAATACATGATCGGCATGTTGCAGGATTGTCTGATTCTACATTGATGTCAATACATGATCGCCATGTTGCAGGATCGTCTGATTCTACATTGATGTCAATACATGATCGCCATGTTGCAGGATTGTCTGATTCTACATTGATGTAAATACATGATCGGCATGTTGCAGGATTGTCTGATTCTACATTGATGTCAATACATGATCGCCATGTTGCAGGATCGTCTGATTCTACATTGATGTCAATACATGATCGCCATGTTGCAGGATTGTCTGATTCTACATTGATGTCAATACATGATCGCCATGTTGCAGGATTGTCTGATTCTACATTGATGTCAATACATGATCGCCATGTTGCAGGATTGTCTGATTCTACATTGATGTCAATACATGATCGGCATGTTGCAGGATTGTCTGATTCTACATTGATGTCAATACATGATCGCCATGTTGCAGGATTGTCTGATTTAGCTTCAAGATATATATTGTAACTGTCCATGTCATCGCCTATATCTCTCTGTTTAGCTCTTATAACATTACATATCGCGGCTTTGGGACGTTACATATGCTTTACCCGGTCTGCGTTGCTTTGACCTCGACCTTTTACAGACGTCATAATGTTCGACCCAACGTCGATAAACTTGACCCTAGCTGATCAAGTTATCTTCCCGTTTACTTGTAAAAAACACATAATATCTATTCTTTTAAAAACACACAAATGCAAACCAATTAATCGATTGTCAGATTTGATCGCATTGTAAAATATAGGCTACTCGACGACATATACAGCCTTTTATACCTCGTTTCGTGCGTTGACTAGTTATTTTTATATGTTATGTCTGTCATATGATATTTTACAATATAAGAATTAAACCTGATAATTGTTATATATTGCCAGTTCATTGACATAATGGGCTCGATTCTATTTGTTCAGTTGTTTTTTTGTTGAAGTCATATCCGTTCTTTAATGAGATTTTTGAAGACTGTGCAGGGGATCTCTCTTATCTTTTTTGTATAGTTTTGTTCAGTTGCTATCCCATTAATGTATACCCCACATATTTTGTTTAAGGGGCATTAGCTGTCAAATTCATGATCACCGATTTGACTTAGATTTCCAATATTTGATTTATAGAATACTGAAACGTATATATAAAAAAAAAAGAAAAAAAAAAAAAGAAAAAAAAAAAGAAACAATAACCAATGTATGTTATGATGTATCTTTATTTAGTGCGTCCTTTTAGATGAAACACCATTCTATTAACGATCGATATAACAGCCAAAGATTGCCAATTGTAGTATGAGCCTAAATAAACACAAATATAAATATTAATAGACAGACAGACAGACACGAACAATCGTATAATGACGAATCTAGATATGTTTGATTTAGTGTCATAGATCGAAAAAAAGTAAATCATCGTTTAATTTGTAGATGAATGATTTTTTGTAGTCAGAATCAGTCAACGAATTTGTTTTTCCTGGTGGCTCCCTTATTTAGGTTTTCAATGTTGACATTATTTTCTTTTTAATAACTGGACATGCATAGTATTAGCCATTTCCAACTAATGGTCAAGCTAAAGGTTGCATGGATACTGATTCAAATGAAATTAGATGATTGACTTGTAAGCCAATAATTCTTTAGCGATGATTTTGAGCCCATTTTGACAATATTGAGCCAAACTTGCTGCTAATATAAAGATATAGTATTTCAATATTCCACTTTTATAAATGTTTGAGACAAACAATATCATATTTTGAATTTTTTTCTTAACGTACCTGATGCCTCTGTAAGAAAACCAAATGAGAGTTGTTGGTTCTTTTTCACAGTTTAAAACATTACTAAATGCTTTTTAGTATTATCATTTTTAACTGTTAGATTTTTTCTTCCTTTCAAGATTGTTTGAAATCATTGATCATTCGTAAAGGCAAGTGTTATGGTTGTTTTAAACTGGACAATTAATGCTGGTTTTCATGAAATCTGAATCCAAGGACAAAGTATGTGGTTTGCAATGCGATTTGTATCAAGTAGCCTCTAAGCAAAATAGTTTTTCAGCTTCACCATTTACTTTCGTACTAATGACAAGTAAACTTTATCAAATCATCGTTCAGTTCAACTTCAGGTTAGAAATACATCGTTTTCATTCGATCAAATTGGCTAAGTGTAGTCTTTTGCTAATGTAAGCAAATCTTAAGTTTATTTAGTCTCTCGTTGCTGTTTTCACTTTTACCAAAATGTATTAGATGTCAGGTTTCAATATAAACTTTGTCTCTTTCACTGATTATTGTTGTGATAATGGTGGTGATCCATTACATTATAGAATTAAGGTCAATAAAAAGGAAGCAATATAGAGTGTCCGTGATACATCAAGAAGTAAACAAAATAATGGAGATTATACGATATACAATTGTGCTATAATTGTAAATGTATTTTTAACGTAAACAGAAAGGATGTTGATTAGCATCGACGTGATAAAAGATAATTGATAATAAATCCGATCGGATGTGTTCAATCTTATTTCAGATTACTTTTGATATTATCCTTAAAGATTAATTGTTTGAAACATATGAATACTTTCTCTTCTTTTCCGATTTAATGACAGAGAATAACTTATATTGAACAAAAAAAAGAGGAAAACAAGAGGAAATGAAACATATTCTATGCAAGAGTAGCTCTATGAGTTTCTATTTGGATTTTTAAATGTTTGTTTTCTTTCTTTTTTTTCAGAAGAAACATGCAAAGATCATAATTTATTCCCAACAGAGATGGAGCTTTATCATGATCATTCTTTAGATATGAAAATACTAGGTAATGTATGTTTACACCCATCCTTACTTATTTATTTAAACTATGTTCACGTGGTATTTCCTTATATGCGTTCTCCGAAATCCAAATCTGTTCATACAGACAAAAAAATATATATAAAAGTGTGCAATGGATTTTTTTATTAAGATAAGATATAGATTGCAAAAAGCATTTATTTTCCCAATAGGCGACAATGGTAGCCTTTTCCAAGAAATAGACTTTATAAAGTTGTTTTTGAACGAAACCTTGCTTGAATTAAAGACAAACTATTATGACAGTATTTTTTTTACCCTAAAAATATAGGTCCCCGTTGCTTTTCTTATCGTAATTTGAACTTATCTCCCTTGCCTATCAATATTGCACTTAAAATCATGTGTCTCATCCCAGCATAGAAAATACTTCTCAGTTCCGTTAGGGCTAAGGACAATATATTATTTTACTTTCGGTATAATGCAGATTGCACGGAGTCTCTAATAATAAAAAATACAGCATGCACCGACCAATCAGGATAAGCTATACTCTTAATTCATTCTGATTACCATGTTATCTTCATTAAATGGCTGCGCGCATAATATTTATTGTTGATCGTAACCTATACCACAAATTTCTTTCTGCTATTTTGAATCTTATAAATGCAAATAAAAAATCTACAAGAGTGTTTACCAACGGTGACTTCCCATGATGCAAATGGGAACCTGCAACGGCGACATTATAAAACAACTTACTCGTACATTCGTTATTTTTGCTCAACTAATTTTGAAAAAAAAATCACTTGAAAAAACAACATTGTCATTAATAATTAGGCAATATAAACATCTCTTTTCACCTAAGAAAGAGAAATATTACAAATGACAAGTTTAAGCTTCAAAATACAAATTTCATTAAGCAACAAAAGGTTGTCTGCATTAACAAAAGTAATACAAATCTTTCAAGAAACAATCACAATTCGGCTACTGACTTTGACTTTGAGAAAATACCTGAAAAGTAAAAAGAAGAAATTCTAATAGAAAATGCCGAAGTCTTAATCATTCCGAAAATACCTCTTTTTTTACAGAAGAAAAGATGTCACTTATTGAACGCAATAAAAAAAGAGTTAGGTTACACAAATTCATTGAGCAACAAAATGTTGTCTACGTTACAAATCGTAAAACAATTGTTTTAAGTAATAATCAGACTTTCGCAACTGATGTGACTTTGAACCAGTACCAAAATGTACTTATATACAATGTCGAAGTCTGAATAAGACAAGAAAAAACCTGTTTGTTTACTCTTATAGAACAAAACATATAACTAATTAATAGAAGATTAGAACTGATACAATGGATGCCAATGGTATAATTTTAAGTACACAAAACATATCAATAAATTCAATAAATATGCTGACAATTAACGGAGTGTAGCAATCGTCCAAACATTCTTAAATCATTTCTTACAACCTCCGACCCGTTTAGAAATAAGAAACCAATATAAGTGAATTGACAGTGTCTAAATCTACATGAAAACGACACTTTATGAATATTAGTAATGGTAAAATATTATGTTCGTAGTTGATTTTCCCTTGTACATATTTTGATTCGAGTTTTTTCTGATATATTTACTATTAATTAATGTCAAATACTTTGAAATACGAAGGTTTCGACACCTAGTCTTAATGAGCCTCATGAAGACGTAACACGTGTTTGTCAAACTAAAACATGAGCATAATATCGTCGAGGATTATTTAATAACAGACAAAATGGCATTTAAAAAAACCGAATTATTAGGACATTTATTTTGCACAATTAACACTTACTCTTACCTTACACTGAGTTGATGTAAAACATTGTTATGACAGATGTTTTGTTGAAAGAATGATATTAACATATATTTTTGAAAAAAAAACAAATAAACAAAAAAATTTAATCTTAAATATCAAAAAAGAAAAAAAAGAAATTACGGGAGTGTTTAACAAGGATTTTCCATTAAGCAAATGGAAACCTGCAATATCAACAGTTTGAGACAATTTACTCATAAACCAGTTATTTTTTATGAATCAATTTTGTAAAAAAATCACTTGAAATAACAACATTGTCATTTATAAATTCGAGTTTTAAAAAAAACCCATCTATTTCACTTTAGAAAGAGAAAGATTCCTTATGAAAAATTGTAGCGTATACAGTAAAATTGGTACCGTTAGTATAATTATACAAATTCCATTAAGCAACAAAAGATTGTCTGCCTAAAGTAGTCAAACAAATTTCCAAATAACAATTACACTACGACTAGTTATGTGACTTTGAGCAAATACCTGAAATGTAAAAGAACGCAATTCTTTTAGAAAATGTCAAAGTATAAATCATTCCGAAACTACCTCTTTTGTTTACAGAACAAAATATGTCACTAATTAATAGTAATGAAAAGTTTAAGCTTGCACACAAATTGCTAAGCAACAAAGGTTGTCTGCATTAATAATTGCAAAACCATTTTTTAAGTTATAATCAGAATTTGGATACTGATATGACTGTTAGCAAATACCTGAAATGTAAAAGGTGACAGTTCTTATAGGAAATATCAAAATTTTAATAATACCAAAAATCCCTGTTTTAGCTCACCGGGGCCCGAAGGACCCCATGTGAGCTTATGCCATCACTTGGCGTCCGTCGTCGTCCGTCGTCTGTCGTCGTCGTCTGTCGTCGTAAACTATTTCAAAAATCTTCTCCTCTGAAACTACTGGGCCAAATACCTTCAAACTTTAACTAAATGTTTCTTAGGGTATCTAGCCTATAAATTGTATCCGAAGTTTTGATCCATCGACAAACATGGCCGCCATGGCTAAAAATAGAACATAATGGTCAAATGCAGTTTTTGGCTTATATCTCAAAAACTAAAGCTTTTAGAGCAAATCTGACATGGGGTAAAATTGTTTAATTGGTCAAGATCTATCGGCCCTGAAATTATCAGACGAATCGAACAACCCATTGTTGGGTTGCTGCCACCGAATTGGTAGTTTTAACAAAATTTTGCAGTTTTTTGTTATTATTTTGAATATTATTTTAGATATATATAAACTGTAAGCAGCAACAATGTTCAGCAAAGTAAGATCTACAAAAAAGTTAATATGACCAAAATTGTCAATTGACCCCTTAAGGAGTTATTGCCCTATAAAGACAATTTTACACAATTTGTTCATCAAGTTTGCTAACATTTAAAAATCTTCTCCTCTGAAATACAGGTGAGCGATTCAGGCTCTTGAGAGCCTCTTGTTTTACTCTTATAGATCAAACGATGCAATCAATTAACGCAAGATTATGACTGGATTCAATTAAATGCCAATTGTATAATTTTGATAACACAAAACATATCTATAAATACAATAAACAAGCTTACAATTTACAAAGTGTAGCAATCGGTCAAAAAAAAAGTAAAATAACAAAAAAACCGAACTCCAAGGAAAATTCAAATAGGAAAGTCCCTTATCAGATTGCAAAATCAAAAGCTCAAACACATCAAACGAATGGAAAGCAACTGTCATATTCCTGACTTGGTACAGGCATTTCTTTATTGTAGTAAATGGTGGATTAAACCTGAACCTTTCACTTGTATGACAGTCGCATAAAATACCTTTATATTGACAACAATGTGTGAACAAAACAAACAGACATAATAGGTAAAAATGTCAAAAATAGGGGTACAGCCGTCAACATTGTGTTAGAATCTTAATCACTATAAAACAAACAATATGTCAACATTCTTAAATCATTCCTAACAACCCCCGATCCGTCTAGATGTCTCTGAATATGAAACCAATATTATAATTGTATTGACAGTATCTAGATCCAAATGCAAACGACACTTTTATGAATATTTTTTGTCCCCCGCGTGACGCGTTGCGGGCGACATAGAAATACCGTCCGTCCGTCCAGTCTTGTTAGCGCTTTAACATGTACCATTCTTGCCAGATTTTTATAAAACTTATGTAATAGATTGATATCAGTATTGTCTCGGACAATTTAGAAAATCAGTGCCGATCAACACTTTTCAAAAAATACCCCTTGGAAATATTAATTATATGGAAAATTGCATTGTTAGCGCTCTCATGTGTACAATTCTTGCAGATTTGATAACAAAGGTTTATATCAGCAATGTCTTGGACAAATCCAAAAATCAGTGCCGATCAAATATTTTTAAAAGAGTTATGCGACTTGGAAATATTGATTATATCGGAAATTGCATTGCATTTGATCTCAAGTCTTTATTTCTGCAAGATTTTTTAAAAAATTTAAAGAAACGGGAAAACAAGTTTTTAAGTTAATGACCTGGGACAGATTATATATGTGCAACGCGTTGGACATTGGAACTTTGTTCTTTTATAAATTTTTATTAACGAAAAACTTTATGAATATTAGTAATGGTAAAATGTGATTTTCGTAATTGATTTTGCCTTGTAATTGTTTTGATTCGATTTTTTTCCCTGGTGTTTTACTGTTAAATGTTAAAATATTTTGAAATACGAAGGTTTCTACACCCAGGCACGATGAGTCTCATGTAGACGAAATGCGCGTTGGTCGTACTAAAATATGAGCACGATGTCGTCGATGAAGTTTTAATAACAGACAAAATGGCATTTAAAAAAAAGTAATTATTAGGTCATTTTTTGGCACAATTAACACTTACTCTCACCTAACACTGACTTGTTAGAACAAACTTCAATTTATGCCAGATGTTTTGTTGAAAGAATGCTTATAACATTTTTGTTTTATACAAAATAAATTAACAAAAGTAGTTCATCTTTAATCTAAATAATGAACTTTTAAAAGGAAAACGAAAACCTGCAAAAATACAGAGTAAGATAACTTGCTAGGAAATATGTCAACATTTTTCTTGAAAATAACAAAATTATCATATATATAGAACGATGTTCTAATAATAGTAGAAAAATCAATAAGAACTAAAATACATATAAATATCAATTAACTAGTAAATCCAGATTCTGTCTATTTTAGTTGTCTGACTTTCAAATTTGC